TTAACGATGATGACGCGCTGTAAAATCTCACTTATCTCAGTTTTTGGCCGAAAAGGATCAGACTTTCTACGAGCGTGGAATTTTCAAGTTGTCAGAGAGATGGCAAAAGGTCGTCGAACAAAATGGAAAATACATTACAGATTAAACTTCGTTCCAAGTAAAAAAAAATTTTTATTTCATTGAACAAATCGGCAATTACTTAGTTGCCAACCCAATGCTTAGATCTAAAATATTTGTTTTAAAAAGTACACCCGTTATATATGATGTAGATTTCTTATCCCGATCTAACTCAACACGAAAACTATAAATTAGCAAACGCTACAAGCGTAGGTTAGATCTAGGTTAGGTCTGACTTAGATGTAGGTTAGGTCTGGGATAGATCTAGGTTAGGTTTAACGTTCTACGTTCCAATGCTGTGACTAAAATGATTCGCAGAAGCATTTATTCGGTGCCAAGAATCTACTACTTTGCTTACCATCGGTCACTGTCATCGCTCCGATATATGTGTATAACGTCGCACGAAATTGTTTGATCGCGTGTTTGTCGAACGATGAACTTGACTTTCGGTATGAATGAAACACCAGCGGGTGTTTAAACAGTAAGAAACTTGCCCGTTTAACAGAAATGCGGACGATAGAATAGGAATCTCAAAAGCAATTTATATATTGGAAAAAGTTTTTAACAGCTTGAAACAGTGATACGAAGATTCTAGCAATGTTATTTAGTTACTGCGACAATCTATTTTCTAAATTCGCATAACTTTCAAAAATGCAGATAGTTGCAGTTGCATTTTGCGTGCCGTTTTTCATAATTCTTTAAACATTCATATGAAATAAGTCCCATGTCTATCACTTTTAATCATTTATCTGAAATCCTTCTTGAAGTATAAAATATGAAATTTCAAAAATTCTGTTCTGGTTACGGAAAATGGTTTCTCAGCCTACTGTGGCGTTGAAATACTGCTGACATCTAATTTATTACTTTAATTATTAAAATTTATATACTCTTCACGATTGTTTAAGTTTTGTTATAAAAACGGTCTAATGCCCATCACTCTTAATATTTGTTTAAAGTCCTCTCCAAAGTTTGAATTGTTCTAAATTTGATTCCGTTTGTGTATGGATTCAAAAATATTTAGAACTGAGTTAAATATTTGAAGTACACCGGCTAAAAATTTTAAAGTCATCATTAAAAACTGTTTTCTGATATTCTATCATAAAACGTTTAATTTTTTACTTTGAATTTGATGATTTTGTCTCTCGATCGTCGCGTGTCATAACAGATTTGTACAAAATGCAGAATATTTTGCATTTTGAATCTTTAAAGGGTTATGTGGATTGCGATTTTTATACATCTATGACAACAATGAGTAGGCCAAATGCTAAACTATGAAGACGTTGCAAGAATTTAAGGATTTTTTTTAATTTAAACTAAGAACCCCTTATACAGCAGGGGTGTCAAACTCAAAAGCTAACTTGGGCCAAATAAACAATGCTTAACTTTAGGTGGGCTGCAAAAAAGAAATCAATGTTCATAGCAACAAATATTTTTATTTTGACTAGTACATTGTAATAGACACATATATAAAGTTAAATTATTGTTTACGTCCTGATACTTGACATCTCTTCTCTGATACTATCTTTCCTATTTCGGGAGAAATTTTATTGGCCGAGACTACTTTCAAAATTTCTGATTCACATTTCTATTTTATTTTTACTTTGCGTCGGATATATTGATTGGGCCGCAAAAATGTTCATCTCGGGCCGCGAATTTGACACCCCTGCCTTACAGGGTTATTAGCTGTGTGCACATTGTTTTCAATATATTGCAATTATTAAAACGGGACAGACTTTTTCATCTGACTTATATATTTCTTACAATTAATTTGGACAATTTTTATTTCGCATAAATATCCGCAGTCTAGTTATCAGTATAATAATATATATATAAATATATTACATATATAATATATAAAAATATTGTTTTCGATATATGTATATTAAAAAATAAACTTTTGGCCACGAAAAGCTGGTTCCCAGACCACTGTTCACGGTTCTCGATCTGTAGCTTAGAACAATTATCGTAGATTGAAATTTCATTTCAACAATGTTCCACTTCTCGGTCTTGTCATAAATGCAGAAAATCCACAGTTTACGCAAATATCCATTGAAATACAATTTACATGAAAATCCCATACACGTCTTCAGCTTTGTTGCTTACAGCATGCGTTGCCGATAGCAACCGTGTTAAATTCGAATCTCGCATCACAGCGCTGCTGACCGCAACCGTCGAACAATGTGTATATCTGTATTTCAAGAAGACAATACCTTCGGCGGGCGAAGGTTTTCCATTTGGCGGCGAACAATTCCGAAAACCGGTGTCCGGTTCCGTAAAAGCCGCATTGGGATGCGTCCCGCGCGGTTCTATTTTCTCCGGCCTGTATATTAGAGTGCAACAAAAGACGTGACGATAATAAATAGCAGAACGATGCGATAGGTCGGTGCGGCGCGGCGCGGCGCGGAGCGGAACTCGTATCTCGCTTCGGAGGCGGCTCGAAATTGACGAATACCCCAGTCGCCAGTATCTTTGCGAGCATTGTTCCCCGGCGGAATGGTAGTGGGCGAATAAACGCGTAACACACATTCCGCATGGCCTGGTGGCTGTCGGAACGCGCTTCTGCGCGCGCCTGCACGCGCGGACCGCCGCGGATCGCCGCGCCGCGCCGCGGCGTGGAGCTCATTCGGATGCGTCTCGTGTCCGTTTCTCCGCCGAAGGACCGGAAGTTGGCTCGTCGTGCGTGCATCGTCACGCGTATCCGGTGCCCCGGAGTTCGTTTATCGAGGCCTGACACTTCCACGAAAGGACAAGCTTTGATCCTCTTTCCACGCACCCCCAAGCTCCCTTCGTCCCTTCTGCTTCTTCTTCGGGCCTCGAGACAGGCGGCAACTACGCTTGCACGCGATTTTGAAACAGCGATTCAACTGCCATCTAGGCTAATGCAATTTTTTCGAACTAAAGTTACATTGAAACGATGAAATTTCACGAATACATCGCAGGGTACTTTAATAACGATATATGATATACTGGGTGTGCAGAAAGGCTGGATCGAATTTATGGTATGTGTTATTGAGGTCAAGTAGATGAAAATATAATTGAATGAAAAATATATGAAAACATAGGATAATATATATTAACTATATATAATATGTAATAATATATTAATATAATAATATATTAATATATAATATATATAAAATATATGATATACTGGGTGTCCAGAAAAGCTGGATCGAATTTATAGTATGTATTATTGAGGTCAAGTAGATGAAAATATAATTGAATGAAAAATATATGAAAATATAGGATAATATATTAATTATATTTACTATATATAATAACTATATTATAAAACTATATTATAAACTATATTAACTATATATAATATATAATAATATATTAATATATAATATATATAAAATATATGATATACTGGGTGTCCAGAAAGGCTGGATCGAATTTATAGCATGTGTTATTCAGGTCAAGTAGATGAAAATACAATTGAATGAAGAATATATGAAAATATAGACTTGCGTCCGGAAATGCTTTATTGAAAAAATATACGCGTTCAAAAAATATATAAGCGTTTGAAAATTAAATAAGCGTCGGTTTATAAAAATGCGATAGAAACAGAGGATCAACTTTGGGAATGCGTTAACGATGCAATTATTATTGTCTCCAATACAGATTGAGTATTCGAAAGAGTTCGAAAACTCAAGTTCAATTTTCGAAAATTTCTTACAACCAGTCTGCAGATTTTTATACAAATTAAAAAACAGTCTGCATCAGTGTTGTTAGGTCCAGTGCGATTTCAGTGCTTTTCGTTGTGGAGGGAGTAACGAAGTACCGCATCTACCGCAAACTGGCGGTAGCGCTGAGGGTGGCCACGCGAGGGGTCTGAGGGGAGGGTGAGACAAGCTACCGATCCTAAGCTAACTCTGAGCGTTACATGGATATGTGACACACGGATTTTACGCACTTATGGAAGAAATGGATGAGTCAAACATGGAACAGTGAAAAGATTACAAGGAGCTAAGAGTGTTGATGTATTCATTTGGCCTTACCGAAAGTAATGTCGTTTCTGCGCATATTTATCTGTTTGAATTTAATGTAAACAAACGACATAACTTTCCGGTCCCCCTAATATTTAAGTAAGAAAATATTGCACCTGGCTTATGTGCCCTACAAATGATGCAGACGTATTTGATTTTCTTGAAGATCCGCAGTCTAGTGGATATTGTTGTGGAGTACTATCTTGGCATCGCCTGTAATAATAGAATGAAGTAATTGACACGTTCGTAGGTTAATCAGTTGTTAGGTATTGTAGGTTAGGCACGTAGTCCCTCGCAAGCCCACCCTCTGCGCCAGTGGCAGTTTGCGGTACTTTCTTACGCCCTCTACTACGAAAAGCACTGAAATCACACTGGGCTTATACTTTGTTTAACGAGTACTTGCACAAAATATAAACAGCAACAATTTATATTGTAAGAATGTTGTTGGTCATAATTGTCCTTTGGTATCAAAAAGCGACTTTGAAGCTTCGAAGACAACTCTAGAAATCTTTAGAAGGTGGCAAAGATCCTACACAAATATCTAAAACAAACTTCAAAATTTATCGTAAGGGTGTCATTCGTCTTAATTGTCCTTTAATTCCAAAATGACGACGTTAAAATTTATAGAATCTCTACGAAAACCCTGGAAATTGATAGAACTCTTTTCAAAGGATTTTAGAAACTACTCGAAAGATTATTTGAAAATCAGCACTGCTCTTACCAACCATGAGAACATACTCTATATTCTATTTTTGCTCTGCATCCTCCGCGGCTTCGCCTTTACGAGCTGCCAAACTCCACAGAAAATAGACAGAGAACTCCGGTCAGACGTCCGCCAATAAACTCTGGTCTATAAACTGAAACTCTAACTTCCGTATTTTTCTTTTCCAGCCGTTTACAATTGGCGAGGTGACACGCGCTATGGCCTTCCATTAGAGATCGGCGAGACGGTGCAGATCCTGGAGGAGTGCGCAGGTGAGAGATTTGAAACTTTTTGTCTTAAAAACGCGTATTTCTTCCTAAAATTGTATCTAGGGTGTACTAAAAGATTCTTTACATCATTTGGAGTAACTTTTTCCTTAGCGAAAATGTCCTCCATGGCTTCGTTAACGAGTTATTAATGAAAAACACTGACCAATGAGAAAGCGAGTACAGCGGACGTATGCTACGCGGTAGCAAGCTGGAGGGGGCCAGCCGTACTCGCTCGCTGATTGGTTAGTGTTTTTCGTTAATAACTCGTTAACGAAACCGCGGAGAATATTTTCGCTAAGAAAAAAGTTGCTTCAAATCATCCGAAAAATGACTTCTTCCATGGACATACAATATTTTTGGGACACTCTGTATGTTGAGACTACAATGTAATTCTACATGTATCTATCACAATAGTTGTTTCCCCGTGTCAAATCTTAATAATAATTAAGAATCTTAATAATAAGCTTAATAGTAACAAAATTTGCGTCAATTGCAAAACATAAGAGTCAAGTATTATTTTCTCGCTTTCTTTAATAACTTTAATTTAAACCCTTAACACATTGACCACCAAGCCTGTTTTGAAGAAACCTGTTCTAGATGCCAACATTATTTTTTTAAATAAATAAGTAGCAAAAGTAAAAAATAATAGTAAGTAAAAAATAATAAATAAATCTTTTTTACGACGTCTTTTTTGTTAGCAATGAACCTTCAACAAATGTGTAGGTGGACCACGAGTTATTTTGTGATTGACAGTGAACGCGTTAAGCTTTTCACTGTTTTCAGTTCCGCCCATCAATTTTTAGGTTATTGAATCATATTATTTAATTAGATTATTATAAATATAGAAATCCCCATCACAAAACAGATTCGTTAATGTATGGACAAGGGGTTAAAAATGTCGCAGATATTTTAGGCGAACATCTTAGGTGGCTCACGCTGTACGTATAGTCTCCACGCGGCAGGAAGGTATCTCTGTGTTTACATTCCCCCTCTTACTAGCCGTGGCCCACTGCCGCAGCTTGTAAGAGGGGGGCATATAAACACGGAGGATGCTTTCTTGTCGCGTGGGGACTATACTTGTACTTTATAATACAAAATATCAGAAAATATAATATATATTATATAATTCATATAATTCATATATTATACAATATATATGTATATATATATATATATATATATATATATATATAATATTATATAATTCATATAAAAGGAAATCTCTTGAATAGAGAAAATGATGGAACTTGAATCAGTTTCCTTGTTCGCAGGATGGTACAGAGGCTTCTCGACGAAGAACCGCGCGGTGAAGGGCATCTTTCCGAGTTCGTACGTGCACTTGAAGCCCTGCAAGATCGAGAACGAAGGTCTGTTCGAGTCCGTGATCCCGCTGGAGGATCCAGTGGTCCGGGAAGTCACCCTGGTGCTGCGGGAATGGGACGGCATTTGGAAACGACTCTACGTGGTGAGTGCGTTCAACGTATCTAGCTTCTTTTTCTCCTTTGCGTTGACAATGGTTGTCCGCGCGGCTCTTTCTTGCAACGATGGCTCTCGTCATTACGCGACTCACTTTTCCACCGTCACACAGTGGTCTGGAAAACCGTTTTTGGTGGCCAAAAGTCGATTTTTCAAATTTAACCCTTCGCGCTCGAAGCTATTTTATCTCTAAATCCAAATTAGTTTACAATTTTAGCATTCTTTTAAATGTAAATAAATTTGATAATGTAAAAATGATTTTAAAACGCGATGTAACAATTTTTAATGGTGCCCCAGAGACACCAAAGAGTTAATATACAGGGGTCTATCAATAAGTGCCATTTAAAACAACTGGTATGTAAATGGTTTACCTTAAATAAAAAAAATAAAAAAATAATTAAATAAAAATAAGAATTAAATAATTATATATGAAAAATAAATATATATATAAAAATTAAATAATTATATATATTATAAAAATAATAATTAAATAAAAAAATTTATTTACTAAATTTTTTTAGGATCATCGGCGTGAAAAACGAATTTAGAATACTATTTACAAGTGACTTTAAAGTGACCTTCCAAGTCGTGAAAGAAATTTGTTGTGCAGCAGCTGGGGATGTTCTTTTCTTCTACTTTGTTTACAGAATGCGTTCAAAATTTCTTCCTTCGACTTCGTTATTTCAGACGGTACTTATTAATGGACATCCTGTATAGAGAAAATGCTTTCTGTTATAAACTGACACATTCTTCGATGCTGCCGTGAACAAAATCATCATTTATAAATTTACGATAAAAGTAAACAGGTTGAATGTAAAACTATAAATTCATTGGAAGAATTTAAAGATATTGTTGCATTATTAATATTATTAAAAGAGAAAAGACAATTTCATGCAATTAACTTAGACAATTTTTATTTTGCTTCGTACGTACTAGGTGAAATATTTAATCCAGTTTTAAGAATTTTTTCAACCTTTTGTCAACAAGTTATTAAGAGATTGTTTTACGGATTTTTTTTACGAAAGCTTAAACAATTGCTATGAAGAGTATTTAAATTTTCAGTACAACTTCTTGCAACTTTCATATGTACATGCAAGAATTTCAACAGACATATATCAGCAATATTTCGACGTTGGGCTAGAAACTTGTTTCTCGTGGTCAAAATTGAACTTTTGAAGTTTCACATATTGAAAAAACTTTCTCTATTAATTAGCCACTTTGAGAAATCAGTACAAAACGAGAAATAACATTTTCGAATTAATGCTTTCTATGTATATATTAATAAACGTGCCTATGTATATATTAATAAATGCCGCGTCGCGGTTTGTTAAAATCCATATAAAATTAAAAGTTGCAAATAATCGTAGCTAAAATTTGTTTGATCCTTGTCGTAATACTGTAAGCTTTCATATGAAACATCTGATCATCGTCTAACATATTCTATCTTCTTTTTAAAATCCTTCTTAAAGTCTAAATTATAGTTATCTTTATCTTATTTACAAGTCAGTTAAAATCTGTCTAAACCGTAATTAAATAACCAAAATATAGGTACTATCGAACGTCACGATATAGAACAAACTAATATTTCAATGCTCCTAACCGCGTTGTTAAATCAAGTGCTTTAAACTTCAATATATCAAAATTTTAATTTTACAACGTTATATTATAATATAATATTATATTATATATATAATAATATATATGTTATATATATTAATATTATATTATAATATAACGTTGTAAAATTAAAATTTTGATATTGAAGTTTAAAGCACTTGATTTAATAACGCGGTCAGGAGCATTGAAATATTAGGGGATGATCAGCAATATTATATATATATATTATATTTATTATTATATATATTATTATATTATATATATATTATAACTT